AGCTTTTTATACTGAGGAGGTGGGGCTTCACCCGGGGGTTGCTAGATAAGGGGCTGAACGCAGGTTCCGGTGGGTTGTCGTACGGCTTGTGACATCACAAAATGACGGAAGTATAAAACTTGTTGTTAATATACATTAAAAATACATTTACTTACAGTAAATATGCCCCTGGGTGCATTTTTTTGGTCACAGGACTGTTTTTTTAAGAAGTACATACCCAAAGTTGAGTAAAAAAACCTTTAAAAAAGTGAATTTTGCATAATAAGTCCCCTTTAAGAAAAAGAAAAAACACACAAGAAGAAAATTGTTGAAATGTTTATTTGTTTTACACAAATGTTTGTTTAATCAACTATTATTTTTACAATAAAAGTGATTTAGTGTTTTTCTTTTTATTGTTCAGTTTAACTATGTTGATCATTTATGACTTTGTCGTTCGATGACTTCACTGTGTTTTATAAAACTGGAAATGTTTATTTCCCTTTTGGTGAACCCTACAGGGAATAAGAAAGCGTTTAATCAATTTTCTCTGAAAATTTGTGCTCTTTGTGTGTCGGCGGTGCAACAGCACAAAAATGTTGCATTCGAAACAAACTTTAAAGATAAATAAAACCCATTATAATGATTTAAAAAAAGTTTATTACATTTTCCTAGATGTCTTATTTTGTAGTTCTAATGAAATACACAGTTGCTTGTAAAACTTGCTGGTTTTTGTTGTAAAACTATTAAAGAAAACTTATTTTATTGTTCAAAACGTTGAATGATTTTGACACCGCTGCATCTCTCTGACAGTATTTACTTCCAGCCGCCATCGTTTTACATTAATCCCGAGGATTTGGACAGTGCAGAGAACGGAGGCGTGGCTGTTCTGACCAACAAAAAGGTTTGTGAGTTTTTACTTCTGTTTATTATAGAATATCCACCACAGATGTGAATATTTTGTGTAAATGTTTTCAACAYGTCTCATGAAGCCATAAAGCAGCTGGTGTTTTGAGATAAAWAATGCGTTTGATGTATTTTAGGTGGTTCACATGGACGTGAGAGGAAACAAAGTAAAACTGGACGATAACACAGAGATTTCATACGACAAGTGTTTGATTGCTACAGGTAGGAAGTCCTGATTTGTTTAAATTAGGTTTAATTCWGATTAGCTGGATTCTGTTTTCATGTTTTTCTCTTCAGGTGGCATTCCAAGAAACCTGCAGGTATTAGAAAGAGCAGGAGARGAGGTGATGAAGAGGACGACTTTGTTCCGCAAGGTCAGGGTTYGCATTTGAACTGGAAATCCTACCTGTAACTATAAATAAATTACACTCTGAAGCATGCAGGAAGAGACTGATGTAAGATGTTTAATCTGTAGATTGAAGACTTCAAATCGCTCGACAAGGTTTCAAGAAGCGTGAAGTCCATCACAATAATTGGAGGAGGTTTCCTGGGCAGCGAGCTGGCCTGCGCTCTGGGCAGGAAATGTGAGGATATGACAGGACACTGATGTTTGTGTGTGACAGACATTTTTATTTAGCTGCTTTTTTTGTAGCTGCAGAATCGGGACTGGAGGTCGTACAGATGTTCCCTGAGAAGGGCAACATGGGGAAGGTGCTGCCGGAGTATCTGAGCAACTGGACCACAGAAAAAGTCAAGAAAGGTGCAGATTTCTTTCCCATTTAGTTTGGTAGCCACAGGAAATGGATTTTTCTCTCTCTCTTCAATCCTGTTTATTTCTACTTCTTTCTGTTTTACAGAGGGYGTGAAAATCATCTCTGAAGCACTGGTGAAATCTGTGGCATGTAAAGGAGACAAACTGGAAATCCAGCTGAAAGATGGTCGATTGGTACGCTRGCGTAGTAGCTGAATGTGGCCGAATTCAGGACATCAAAGACGATCATTACTTACGTGATCTTGTGCTTGTTGCAGGTGACGACTGATCACATTGTTGCAGCTGTTGGCCTGGAGCCAAATGTTGATCTCGCCAAGTCGGGTGGTCTGGAGGTGGACTCTGATTTTGGTGGATATCGAGTTAATGCAGAGCTGCAAGCTAGGTCTAATATCTGGGTGGTAGGTTAAACTAAAATCCTAAACATTTATATTGATGTTTTCTATGTTCGATTACAGCTCCCTCTTGTGGTCAGATCATGTCATGGTTTTATATTATGTTGAATTGTCTGCTTTGAGTTTCACTTCAAGTCAATCGTGTAGGTTTTTGGATCACATACTGGCTGCGTTTTCTTTTCCGTCACACACATTCACAACCTCCTCTGTTTGAAACCAGGCTGGAGACGCCGCGTGTTTCTACGACATCAGGTTGGGCCGCAGAAGAGTGGAGCATCACGATCACGCTGTTGTCAGTGGGAGACTGGCAGGAGAAAACATGACGGGAGCCAGCAAACCTTACTGGCATCAGTCTATGTTCTGGTAGGTATGAGACTATTTCCAGTTTTAAGGGTTGAAACCCTTTTTAAAATGAAAACTTAGTGTAGAAACTAAAACTGAAGGAGGCAGAGGAGCAGCATGTACAACTCATCTAATATCTCAGTTGAAATGTTTTTAGAATTCAAGTAAATCCACGATTGGTTTCAATTTAATTATTATAAATATAAAAAAAACACTTGATGAAAATATCTCTAACAATTGTTAGAAATTGATTTGTTTTATGGATCCCCTTCAGTTTTCTGCCCATCACTACTTTTATTATTAGACACCGGCTCTGGTTTGGTAAAATCTCCTGAAATTTGCTGTGTTTTTCCACAGGAGTGATTTGGGCCCTGATGTTGGTTACGAGGCGATTGGGATTGTTGACAGCAGTCTTCCAACAGTGGGAGTGTTTGCCAAAGCCACAGCCAAGGATACCCCAAARGCTGCTACTGAGAAGTCAGGTAGAAGTTGATGCTGATGAATAAAATAAAAGATTTTTTATTTAATGACAACGGCATCAGAGTGAAGCTCTGTGATCGTGTTGCAGGGACCGGGATCCGCTCAGAGAGTGAAACCGAGGACACGGCCACCAGCCCAGTGGCCTCCTCAGCACCCGCTCCAGCCGTGGATCACAAAGACGAATACGGAAAAGGAGTCATCTTCTACCTGAGGGACAAAGTGGTGGTGGGCATCATCCTGTGGAACGTCTTCAACCGGATGCCCATCGCAAGGAAGGTAAAARCCCTGACAATGGAAGAAGCACAAAACCCATCAGGTTTCTGTAAAATGTTTGTGTTCTTTTCCAGATTATTAAGGACGGAGAGGAGCATGCAGATCTGAATGAAGTGGCCAAGCTGTTCAACATCCATGAGGATTAAAGAGTTTCACCTCATCCAGAACTGGACTCTGGCAGTGAACACCTCAAAGACTCACACACACCTACACACAAGGATCAATGTAAATTAATTTATGTTGATATTTTCATATTTGGAATTTATCTACGTCGCTTGTCTGGATTGTTTTTTTGGTTGTTTAAATCTTTATGGGATGTCTTATTTTCCTTTTATCAACAGTATGATTGTCTCCTATCCAAGCCTGAATTGTTCCCCTCTGTGTGATCAAAGCAAAAACAAACAAAAAAAGAAGAAAAGCTGCAATAAAAACTATTTTTAAATCAGACCAAACCCGTTATATTCAGCTTTGCTCCTAGATAATGAGTGCCAAGCAGAMGTGCTGACCTCTGTTCAGCACTGTGATTGGTTGGATGGTTGTTACAGTCTGTGTGGTTGTGCTCATCTGTCCCGAGGAACTCGAATTAGTCTCTTGGCCGACTGGTTGCAGCTCAAACCCACCCTAAATGGGAGAACGCGACCCTTTAACGTCATCTGGAAACGTTCAATAAACGGTCTGAATGAGAAGAGTGGGTCGTGTCGAACAATATGTCTGTTTTACAGCAGAAGTGCCCCTGAAACACGTAGACTCCTGACAAACTGACACTGAAATGAAGCTTGGCCTACTTTTCTTGTCCGGGGGAAAAAATGAGCAAGCATGCAGAAATGTTTTTTTTTTTCTCCCTCCACTAAGGGCATCTTGTTATTACGATGGCTCTTGTGGTTTTTATTCTCACACTTTCTTGATCTCATTTGACACTGCAGGCTGCGGAGCGAACTCTGGAGGGGTGGGGG